TGGCAACATTTTACCACGCATAAGCAAAGCCAGCAGAATTTGACAGTAGAAACTATAAACCTGAACAAAAAAAAAACAAAACAAAACAAAAAAAAAAAACCCAATTAACCAAGCAAAAAACACCACCACCAAAATGTGTTTCCTCAAGACTCAATTAAAAAGCTCCAGATATTCATACAGCACTGCTTTCTAACATCTTCTGCAAGTAAGACCTTTTTACCCACCATATCTTGTACACCTCACAGCTACGTGTCCTTGTGTTTCCTTCTTAGAAGACCTCGTTTGGCAAGTCTGTGTTTCCTTCAGCAAGCAAGCCCTTTCAAGCAGAAGTAGGTATACCATTAGTCACTTCGCAGCTTCAGCAAACTTAAGTTGGCTGATTCAGCAGAAAGTGTATTTAGAACTCGAGAGGTTCACTTCACTGACAGATTACAGCATGAATCCCCTGGCTTCCTCTCAGTACCAGTGCATGTTGGAGTGGTAAGTGCCCCTCTCCTTTCCTTCTCCTGCAACACCTGCTTATCTATTGGACAGGGACCGACACCCACTGAATTCACTGCTAAATTTGCCACAGCTAAGGTTAAACAAAAGGTCATTTGTTATTTTGGCTAATCATCCAATGGTGTACGTACAGTTAATATTTAAATTCCACAAAAATACATATGCAAGAGGCTTGTGAAAAATGAGGCAGTTTTCATCCCCCGTGATGGCAGGGATCTCAAATGAGTTGTGCTGTCAATGGGAGCACAAGAGGTTATCCAGTTTTCCATAATCTATAAAGCTTCTTCAGAATCATGTCATTAGCTTTCCTGTGGTAGCACGCAGCAGAGCTAATAATGCAATTATGGTTCATGTAGTTAAACTATGCTATTGATATTTTTTTTTCCCAGGAGGCCTTCATTTCTAGCAATTCTAATCATCTTCGTTGTGCAGCTGTATGGATTCCACTTTCACTATGAGGGAAATAAAATTGCAAATAAATACTATCTTTCCTAATGTCTCTGTAAATGCCAGATTTAGTAACCATTAACCAAATGTTAGAGTCTATAAAATGTATAATTCTTTGTCTAAAAAAATATAGAAGAGACTACATTCATATCCTAGTCACCAGAAACGAACTGTTTTGCTGGAGTAAGTGAGAGTGGAATTTCATCCAATACTTGATTATTCTCATTTTTTGCTGTTATGATTCATTAAATTTTTCTAGTTCTTCGTATCCTAACTTTTCCCCTCTCTATTGTATTTAAAATGTAAGTATTAGAATAAATTAGCATGATTACTGTGTGAAAAAAGCACTTCTGTTCTTCAGTAAAGTGGGGAAAATATTCAGCCTGTCAATTTCAAACCTGTCTAAACAAAATGCTACTCAGATGTACCAATTGGACAAGTTGTGCATAACTTACTGCTGGCCTCTCTTGCTCTGGTTCGGTAACCAGTCAGAACTGCTGAAATCACCCAGTCCAACCATCAGCCCAATGCCACCGTGTTCGCTAACCACACACCTCAGTGTGCTAAGTGAAAGGACAAACAGCTCTGAAATGGTGAGCATCCATTTCACCTGTGCAGAATTTTTCTTATTTTGCTAACGTAAACCTTTGGGAGTTAGCTAATGTTTTCTTCTCCCTTCTTGTTTCATGTAACAGAAATCTGAAAAGAGCTTCACAGTTATCTAAAGTACATATTTATCACTTCTGGCAACTGGAGAAAAAATGGGAAATGCTCTGATTTTCCACCAGTGAGTGAATTATGATACAAAAAGACAGAAACATAAAACGATTTAGGGAGAAAAAGATTCAGTTCTCCATATCTATTGCTGATTTGTGCAGAAGAGTGGATTAGCATGCGTAAAAGTGTGATTTGAGCCTTAGCGTGGCAGCCTTGGTGACCATCAGATGGCCCAGGTAACCCGAGCTGCAAAACATCATCTGAGAAGCTTGTAGAATTTTGTAAGTGCTGTTTTGTGAGTTTGTTGGAAAGAAAGCAGTAAAGAAGGACTTTTAAAAATCCATGGCTTATCAGCTTTAATAGTAGGAAATAATATGAGAAATGAAAATAACTGTTATCCCACAAGAACTATTTTTTTTGGTAAGCAGGCCGTTGTTATCCCTTCAATAGTCAGAGCGTAAGAAAAACAGTGAATGAAAAACCCAAAGGTTTTCAAATTTAAAATTTGAGCAATAGTTTTGCTGTAGCATTGGATAAAAAACTTAAATGTTGCTACTAAATGTAGAAGAAAAATTGAATGAGGTCCTTAATTTCTTTTATTCTTTTTACATTATGAAAAGCTTTATTAGAAATAAGTTCGTCTGAAACCTATTATTCTAATTAATAGAGCAGGATTGTGAATTTATTAATTAAAATAAGATACCTCGGGGAAACTGAAATTAATTTTGATGTCCTAATAGAGTTACTGTTATGTCATTCAATTCTATGGGTATCTTATCCCTTTCTCTTCTTCTCTGTTCCCTCCTAAAAGTGAAAAAAAAACACCACATTTGATTTAATTTGAATTTGGAATTAGAATGTTGAGTAGTGACTTCCTAAAGATGCAGTGGAGATAATCTTACGATGTATCATTTTAATTTTACTGATAATTTTACAATAGCTGCACCCCTTGAGAGGGTGCCAGAGCTACACACCTAATAAACACTGAGCGTGCTCTAAAGGAGTTTGGTACAAGGTACCTTTAGGTCTTCCATGCTACCCATTTATTGACTTATTTTTGCTTAAATCACATCAGTCTGCTTAAATAAACCAACATCTTCATGGTCACATTTTCTTAACCACGTTTAATAGGATTCAAACTGAAATATTTGGCTCTGCTGTTGAGCTCAGTCTTTTCCATATATTGGGTCAATATATGAGTATGGAAGCTACTTGACAAATTTCTAGTTGGTTACTGTATTTGCTGGCATCTAGGTTTGCTAACATCTATGCTTGGATTCTGACCCACATCAACACGTGCTGGGGGTAGCATTAAAATTTCTAATACACATTTTTCAGTGCAGAGTGTAATACTATGTAAAAATCTGCAGGTTGGAGCTTACTGCACAGTTACATTTGATTCTTGCGCTCATGCAGTGTTTCTTCTTATGCTAAAGGGTAATCTAAGAAAGATGGAAGGTCACGTAATTTCCTATAAAAATGGAAAATGACAATGTAAAGCATTAAAGCTGGTGACAATAGATATTTTAGGGAAAGGAAACTTAAAATTGAAATTGGCATTAGTTATTCCTTTTCCTAGCAGTCAGGAAGCTCTGGAATTGCTGGCAGTGCAGTCTGAACTGATGTGAATAGGCAAGAACCCTGCAGTCTGCTCTTGGATGGCACAGCATGCCTTGACCTCCAGAAACAAACAGCTTTCTCTCATACTCTAAATCTTGCTGCTGTCTCCTATTTTTCTCCCAGCACTTTGGCCTGGTGGTCACAGCCTGTGAATGTGTTGCAGGTGTCCAGCACCATCACCCAGAAGAAGGGAGCATGCTCTGTTCCTATTATTCAGTCTCCCTGCAGTAGAACAAATGTAGGCAGTGATCCCAATGTCTTCAGTGGGGTGCGATAAGGCTGAACTCAGTGTCTTGGCAGAAATTGGGTGTTGCCATTCAGCTTGTGGAATTCCTTAAAAGTCAGCTAGAATTAGTTGTATGTGATTAGTTGTCTGTATGTCCCTCCCTTGCTTGTAGTTTTTCCCTATGTGTTTTTAAATAGCACCAAAGGATGGCTGCATTTGTGGATAAATACGATTAAGATTTCTGTTCCTGCAGTCCTCAGTGAGGCTGCCTTTAATCACAGCTGGAGCAGATTTAGACCAACATGTGGGTGCTTAATAAAAAAAAATAAACTGAGATTAAATAACACAATTTTAATTGTAAAGACTTATCTCAATGCAGGATTCGTTTTCAGATCCTGCAGAAATCAATTGATACAATCTACTGGAATGATTGTTTCAGTCTAAAACAATAAGGTAAGAAGGGGGCATTGTGAAAGATATGGAAATTTGTGAAAGCAATGAAAAAAAAACAACCAAACAAACACAGAAAATATACTTCAAGCCAAGTTTTATGTCTTCCTATTACCCACTTACTGCAATTTTGTGAATAATGCCAAGAAATGAGTTCTTTGGGGCAGAAACACTCCAGAGAAATGTTAATTTCATGAGCAGTGGAAAACTGAAGCTTGACTTCTGCTCACATCTGGACCTGCCCCTGCTACCATAGTGCTCCTGGAAAGAGCCCACACATGTGCCTCAGCTCTGCTCTCCTTTCCACTGCCCACTGTCCAGGTCAGGGATCCCGCTGCAGGCACAGTGTGTTGGTGGGGACAGGCTTGAGCATTGTTTGGAGCTCTCAGAAAATGCTCTGTGAATATTTGAAGCCTTTTTCTTCAGTATATATCTCTTAGCATGTGGGGGTTTTTTTTGTATTGGGCACATTTCTCTAACTGCCCTCCTCTTGTTTTATGCATTGACAAAAGTACTGGGATGTTTCTGGAGTGGTTTTCCAAGAGGCAAAGCAAACTATTTTCCTTGTTAAGGTTGGGTGACTGTTGTACCCAAGCTGCCTTTTGATATTTTTCATCCACCACTTTCAAAGTTACGTTTGAAAAGTTTATGATATTTACCTGGGGCTTTTCCTCTCCCTTTCTTCTTCAGGGAGTTTGCTGGAGCTCTGTGCCTGCTCCCCAGGTTAGATCTTCTGCTCTGAAGAAGCACATCTTTGACAAGGAGAAAGAAGCAAAAACTTCTAGTCATTCCTAGTCTTTATCTCCTGTGATGGGAAACTTCTTCCCAATCTGAAAGGATTTGTTCAGTGCAGAGTTGTTCAGCAACCAAATTTCCCATGTCTGTGAATAGGGCTGCACTGCTCCGTGACTCCTCAGTGCCCAATGACAAGCTCCCAGGCAGTTTTACACAGCCAATTTTTCACATGTTCCACTGTGGGCTTTGCATTTACTAATAAACTCAATACAAATTGTGTTCCTTCTTGCACGTATTCTTTTAGAGATCCTCATCAGTATCTCCCTGAGCTGCGCCCTCCAGAGATATAAATCTGCTCGGTGTGCTTCTGTGGACTGCTCCCAAGTGTCAGGACCTGCAGCAGCAGAGTAGAAATGCTCCCCAACACCTCGCCCTGCTCCTCCGTGAGCTCTGCTTAGGCTCTGCCATTTTGCAGCCATGCATCATATCTGTCTGCGGCTCACATGTGCATGATCTCCATGGCGACTTGGGCACTCGAGGTAGAAATACGAGCTGGTAAGTCAAGGTTATCCTCCCTCCTCCCTCTTTGCTCTCGGTGCAATGCGGGTAATTGTGCGTTACGTGTTGGCATGGACGATGCTTGCCCGCAGCAGGACGCAGACAGCCCGTTTCACTTTCCATGTCTGTTTAAGCACTTCTCAGTGATCAGCAGTGAAGCCCAAGGGGTGTGGAGGGGCTGCATGGAGCTGTTCCCAGGGGTGAAGTCCTGGGGAGGGGAGACTGAGCCCCACAGGGAAGTGCAGGGAAAAAGTCCACACAGCCCATTCTGTTTCGAGCACGAGATGTGTTGTGTGGGTGCCAGCAGTGGGAAGATGCAGCTAACATCTCCTCTGTCCTTGCAGCATACCTGCAGAAATCAAAACATAAATATTGAATTATAAAGGCAGAATTTGTATTGTAGCAGAATACATACATACATTATAAAGTGGAGTTGCAGCTTTAATGCGTTCTGTTTCCCAGTGGGTACATCGAAGTTTTACCTCTTTGTATGCACAAAACACTTCTTCCTCTTTCCATTGGTGCAAACGACTTGAAATGAATAATGTTTTTCTTGTTTGCTAGCATCATCTCCCCCTGTTGTCCATCGACATAAAATGCAGTGTTCTGGAACATGAGAAAGGCAATACGTTTCCTCCAGTTCTTTGTAAGCTGATATGAAGTAGACAGACACCTTCTGAAGTTTTGTGCATGCTGTGCTCTTTTTTTCTTTGCTGCAACAAGAAAAGCCTTTTCTTTTAACCTGGCTTCCTTTGAAGAAGTAACTCAGGAAGCTTCATGGCCTCTCAAGGTAAGTGCATCTATAGTCCTTATTTTTAGATCATGTTTACAGAAAACTACAGTCTTGTACATTTCCAGCAATCAGCAGTCTGATGAAATGAGAGTTTCAGGCTAAAACCACAGCAGCCAAAGCACGGTTGTTTGGGCTTCTTTTAATTTTTTAGTATTCAAGAGGCTCCTAAGGAGACTAAAATCTATTCTGGAGTGTTATTTGAATAAAGTGCATTACAAAATGTTTGCATCTACATTCAGTCAGGAAATGGTGCTTGTATCTTTGTGCTTAAACCTGTCAGTATGGTCTGCATGGGAAGGGCACATTCTGATCCAAGATTCACACAGATTTCGCACTTCTTTCCTATTCCACTCTGAAAATATGAAATCAGAAAATGCTTTTCACTTTCAAAACTGACTAGAGTTTTGCTGGAAAAATAAATATCTGAAGAATAAATGAATGCAACCAGATTACTTCTTTCTAGGTTAATTTCTGTCACGTATTGTCTTTGAGCTGCAGCGCTTGGCTGTTGAGGGCTGTAGATAAACACGGGAATACGCTGCTCTCACAAGCCATCAGCATTCATTTTTTTCCATGCAGTCAAATCCAAAAGCTAAGCAGAAGGGCACAAATCTGTTTTTTCTTAGCTGAATGCAACCCCACAGGGATTGCCCTGGTGTGACGTACGGAGGCAGATGCTGGCCCAGGGAGCTCCAGCAAAGTAATACTTATCCCTTTATTTCCCCACCAGATACTTCAGACATTTCAGTATTTATAGCACTAGAAGTTATGCAGCAGGAAACGGATTTTAGAGCATTGTTGTACTCTTGGAATATACGTTTTTCCCCGAAGGGAAAAGTATACGTTTTGCTTATATTTAGCCATGTAAAAGAGATCTGGTTCTGTATATTTTAATGCACAGTACTTAACAAGAGCAACAAAATAGTCATGTTCTGTAATACAGTTTTCATAACGAAGGAACTTGGTAATATGCTTCTGTTAGGAACCAGTACCTCTGCAGATTGCTCACTGCATCATGTCGTAACTTTTAAGTTCTCCCGCACTGTAAATGAAGTAGGAAGCAGCCATGAAAATAGACAAAGCCTCAAAGTAGCTTAGGTTGTCATCAATATTTAATGCATTTACGTTTGATTTTTGTATAGCTTAAAATTTGACAGGTAGAACTGCAATTTGTTGTCTTTTTTCCTTTTTATTATCTGAGAATAACACTAACACTCGGCCACTTCGTGGCATTTCATGTAACAACAAGAGTTACGGCAGTAACAGAACCCTGTGAGGTAAAATGATGCAGAAGAGCATATAAAATATTTATCTGCCAGTTATACATTTTTAAAAGCCAGCTACAAATTCAAAGGGGTTTCTTCTTCCTCCTGTGGTCTCTGGCTTTGAAGGAAAGCAGTGGCTGCAAAGGCAAATTAAGATCAAAATATGATTAAACGATGAATCAGCCACAGTGGGTTCAAATAAAGCTAAAGGACCTCAATTAAACACACAACTGCAAAAGGCAGCTTCAGACCTAAACCCAAAATTCCTTCTGGAGCTCAGTCCATGCTATGCCTGAGTATTGTCACGTAGGAGATAAAGATGGTTTGGTGACTGTTTGCTGCCGAGGCGGAGGGGCTTGGTTAATGCGAGGACTTACCATAGATGTACTGAGAGCTGCAGCTGGCACGTGGTGCACGAGCAGAGCCAGTGTTATTGCAGCGGTGGGAAGGTGCTGGCACTGAGACCAGCTTGCAGCAGACAGCCAAGGTGCTTGCTGCTCATCTGAGCTTAGATGCTGGTATAGGCACAGGCAGAATGTGATGCTGGTGTCCCAGTTCTACCGGCTGCTGTTTGGCACTGCTCATTTCTTTTTTTTTTTCTTCTTCTTCTTTTTTTTTTTCCCCCCTGCAGAATCTGAAGGACAAACAAACCCAGTCTTTAAGGACTACCTCCCTGGTTCTTCTGACCTGTCAGAGCAGGACAAGCCTGCTGAGCCTGCAGGCCCCTGGAAGCAAGCCTCACACACGCATAACTTACCACCTGGATTGGAGTACCTGAACCAGGTCCAGAATCTTTCCCAATGCTGGAACTGTTCTGTTTCATCATGGACTCCTTTGGTAGTTGAGGGGTGGGAGTGTTTGAGTTTTTTTCTTGGGGAGGGGAAACTGGATATGGAGAGGCTTTTCTGTTGTTTGACATTTACTATAAGATAAAGAATGTACAAATTATAAGCTCTTCTTTCATTGCTGCTATTCATCTCTGCACAAATCCATTTGCTGTGCATGCAGCTCTCCTTGCCCCCAGACATGATTTTCTTCTCTCTAGGACTTTTCCTAAGTCATACTATGACCCCTCTCATTGTCCCTCCAGTTTCTTTCCAGCTCCTTAAGGGAAACCAGTGCCAAATTCCTGGCTGACTTCAGAATTTGTTTGGTTGATTAAAACCAGCAGTGTGTGAGGGAATCACACCCCTCTCCCTGAGGAACATGGAGGTCTTTGGAGCAAATTCCTCGTGCCCACAAGGACAATGCTCTCCAACTGAGAGGGAGAAACAAGTTCTCAAGTTGACGAAGAGAAAGCCTGAGCAGCTGCAAACTTGCACCTCTGTTTTGGGCTGTGAGGCAGAAAAGGGGCAGTGCCCAAACAGTGTACAGCAGAAAAGAGGGAGCTGAGGAGTAGTTATGAGGCTGTAATTCTGATGCATGACTTGAGGGTTGTATTTAAAATATGCTTTTCTGTAGTTTTGTATAGAGGCAGAAATTGAATGCATTTTCTATTTGGAACATAAGACAGTTAACAAAAGTGGGAGACCTTTCAGAAACCATCTTTCATGTGGAGTTATGATTTTCATTTCATGGAGCCTGTGCACAAAATGATATGTGTTGTCAATTACAGGAGCATTTGTTCACAGACTGTGGAGCTACATTTTTTAGTTGAAAAGTGATTGTGATAGTCAATACTTGGCAGGTAACACATTCAGCTTTCTGCATGAACACGAATTACACCTTACCTTTATCTGTACAACGTGGGTAAGCAAATTCTATTACTCCATTTTATGAAAGGATTACATCTGACATAAAGTCTTCATTCTCAACTCAATAACCATGTCTCTGTGCTGCAGCCCTTACTAATTACTCTCAATTCACTCCTGAGATGACTCCTGGTCCTTGTGTGTTTGGGTCCCTGTGAGACTGCATTTGTGAAGGTAGGGCATCAGCCTGGCCCTCAGTGTCCCCTTTTCTGGCCAGAGGAAGACCTGGAAACCCACGGTCTGCACCAGAACTTGCAGGCAGAACCTCTCATGTAAATGGTGGAAAGTATTTCTAGCTGAACTGGGGATTTTTAATGGAGCATACCATGTTTGCTTCTGGTTTTGTGTGCATTATGGATGTGGGTTCCCAATTGGAGCAGGCACAGAGAAGTGCCATCTAAAGGGCACAGGGAATAGAGAACTTGCTTTAAAACAGGACTGCAATTTTTTCATTTTTATCTAAAAATAAAATTCTATCAGAGAAGGAACTCTGACAGCTGTCATCCCTGGAAGAGAAAACAACCTGTGCGGGAAAAAAAAAAAAAGGCATTGTTTTAAAGAATGATTTCAACAGAAGAAGGATTATATAGAAAGTGGCTGTGAATAAATAGAAGATAACAAATAGAAATGAGGTTCTGGGATTATCTCCAGCAGGAGCAGGGAAGATAGCTGGATAGATTTATTTGAGAAAGTTGAATATATTTCTTAATAAGGCCATAACATACTTGCCTCTGAAAGCAGGATCCAGCCCCAGTGAATCTCATAGAGATCCCCACAGCGTTATGCTAAACAGGAACTCTAGGGCACAGCGTGTAGCACTGGGTGAGAGGAACAGAAAACTGTCACTATGCAAATGCACACTGAAGTCAGTCGGGCTGAGGAGCGATGGGTTTGGCTCTTTGAGGTGCTTCAGAGCCTGGCGATAAACTGCCTCTGCCCTGCTGAACTTGCTTTCTATAATCATCACAAATGTGTCGCTCTAAATAATTTACTACAAAACAGGTTACCCGAAAAAACGTGATTAACTTCCAGATTGAAGCTGTAGTTCTGGGAATTGTGTGGGATCCACCTCAAAAGTGATGGATCACCCTTTGCCCAGAGAAGGAATAGATAGAAGAGACCTGAGAATTTTCCAAGCAGCTCAACCTTGTGTTGTGCAATAATTCAGGCTTTACCAGTTTTGTAAGAAGCTTCTTAGTTTAGACTTGGTCAGACTGATGTTTTGTAAATTTAGTGCGCACAAAACTAAATGCTAAGAGTTAGCTTTGCATAAGGAATTTTAGCACATTAGAGCTCAAGAGTACTGAGACCTATGTAAAGCAAAGGGCTTTCCATGCTTTCAAATACAAACGCAGAATTTCCTTAATCCACGAGTGCCTCAGTGAAAGATGCATCAGAATGGTTGCCTTGCAGAAACAAGGCAAAACAAACAAGTCAAACAAATGGTGCTGCCTGTTGGCTAAACATTGCCTATGCTTTGTTCACAACAAACTGATATGCAGTGCAAAATCACTCTAAGTTTTTAGCAGTTCAAGCTCATTATTTTTCTTTCCTCCATGAAAGCCTGTGTGGGGGAAAGAAATCCATATTAAAATCAATACTAAAATATTAAAATAGCTCTGCCATCTTTAACCTGTTTATTCATTTTTCATCAGCAGAGCTCTGCACTAACTTCCCATGAGCTCCAAGGCTTCTCATATCTCATGAAATCTAAATGACAAACAGCAAAGCTTCTTGGGAGAAGATTTTTAAGTCCAAATATTTTTTATTATTTCAATTACTGGCATGCACATTTTAGAGATTAATGAAAGGGATCTGGAAGTTTATTTATTACCAGCTTTTCTTTGCTGTCTAAACTAGCTGCAGGAGATGACTGGAACTGATAAATTGCTACAACAGTTTGAATGTGTACAAGACAATATTTATCAATTGTGAAATATACATATGCTGGAGAGCTGTGACATGCAGGTCTGAGATGTCTGTCATGAGCTTTCTGTCTTCAGCTGTGAGTAATGGCAAAATTCAGCATTAGGCGTCTGATGCCCATCTGGAATTTAAGGAGAAGAAACCAGCAAAGCCTAAAATGTCACATAAAACATACATTAAAAAGTCACATAACGTTGGGAGGTAGGCTGAAATTAAGGTTTCGCAATACTAATTATTATTTTCTAAAGCAGAGCATGTCGGAGGGACAGTAAGCACAGAAAAGTGGCAGTTTGTAACCAAATGACAGGTGAGGATGGTTTCAAGCAGAGGGTTTCTTTGGGGAACTCTGGAAGGAATGGAATGCAAAGAGACAGGTGATCACCAGCAGCCCCAGACCTTCTAACACCCACTAGCTTATATTTTTGTTCTTTCTTTTTGAAACAGCTTGACCGGATCATTATTCATCAGCAGGTGGAGCTCCTTGAAGGTATGCTGTTAATAACTCTTGTACTCCAACTACTGCTGTCTCTAAAGGGCTTCCAAGCCCAGCTTCATGCTGACCTTCCATCAGGCTTCCAGCATGGTGTTAGTGTGGTGAGATGAAGAGAGGAAAGTTACAGTGCCCAAGCCCTAAAATCCTTCCCTCAAAGTTACTAGAGATTCAATTTTTTCCATGGATTGGAAAGATGGTTATTGTCTTAAACAATGATGAATGTGCTACGAGTGAAGAAAGTAAGGAAGATCAGAAAGCATTAAATACAGCATAATAGTTTGATTTACATGGTTCTGCAAAATTTCACGTTCAACAATTAAAACACCTTAAAATGTATTCCTCAGTTGTATTTCTCCTATTCGAGAAGTTTTGGCCTGATTCTTGGGCACCTCTCTGAGTGAAAGTTGTGTCACTGAAGTGGGATAACCTTGTATCAATGTTTTTCACAGTGTGCAGACTAAGAAAAGCCAAAACCAAAACTCAGTGTATGAATTCTGTTTTGTGATATGTACTGCAGTTTACAGCAGATTAAAGTATTTGATCTAAATGTTCTTTCAAAATAGAACTTGACATGATTATTTCATTATTATCATACATTTTCTTTATGTCACCATTTAAAAACAATTTTTAAACAGTCTCTGTTCATAGTTTTTTAGAGTAAATACCACAGAGAAGACTGCAGCTGTAAATATGTATGCAGAGCAGAATTCGGTGAGTCTTGGCAGAGGCTCTTTGTAATCTAATCTTATGCTAAGGTAACATCCAACTTGTTTGGCTTTTTTAGCCATACTTGGCACAGAGACCTGCAGCAAATATGAGATTAAAAACCATTTGGGACAAAGAGTTTACTTTGCAGTGGAAGAAAATGGTTGCTTCAATCGTAACTTGTGTTCACCTATAAGGTCTTTCACCATAAGGATTGCTGATAACACTGGCCGAGAGGTGATTACAGTGAATAGACCCTTGAGATGCAACAGCTGCTGGTTCCCTTGCTTCCTGCAAGAGGTGAGTGTTGCCTAATTGCCTTTTGTTCGAGCATCTCACTGCATGTGCTCTGCATTAATTAAGCCTTGCATGACCTCAGTGAGGATGGCAGGAAGGAATTCCCAGCTGTGACCTAGCCTGGGCTGCATGGAGGCAGCTTCTTTTTTTGCTTCTGCACTTGCTGATGCAACACTTTGAGTGAGAGAAGAACCCAAAGACTTTCCTTTAGAAGCGATTATTGATAAACAAGGCCCTTTGTGAAGTAATTTAGAAGTAACGTGCCACGCATGCCTCTCATGGGCATCCCAAATAGACTCCTGCATCTGATAACACAGATCTCCCTCTGTTTAGGGCGGCCCTGAGCCGCTGCTCACCCAGCTTAGACTGACATCACTTAGTGCTGTGGATGTGCATCACTCACTGCAAGCACAGAGTGGGAAGGAGGGACTTTTCCTGGGGCTGGCAGTGCAGGCTGGCCTGGGAAGCAGCTCTCAGGAGAAGCTGGTGTATTGTGTCAGGGCTCCACCTCTCCAAGGCCATGGAAAATTGCAAAAATCAGCTGCTTTGAGTGAAAAACAGATCCTATCAAGAATAAGATCTTTTCTCCTTAATTTTGATTTGCATTCATAGATATTATTTTATGAAAATGTTTTGTAGAGAGACTTTTTACCTACATTTTCAGTTCTGCATCCAGATTTTCAGAAGAAAGAATCCTGGGTAGCACAATTACTGCAGAAAATAGCCTATGGGATACTCACACATTACAGGCTTTTTGTTTTTCACCACAGTGTATAACTTCTATGAAATCTTACGTTTGATTCAAAATGATAGCTTCTAGTGCAGCTTTTGAGTTCTCTATTGTTCACTGTATTTAAAAGCACCTTAGATGTCCTGTTCGTGATTTGGTAAAAATTATACACAACTGCATTAAATGAATAGTTTGTAATTGCATAAATGATAAAGTATTATGGAAAAACATGCTAATATAAAATTAGTTTATAAGATTTTATTCTGTTTTGTTTGCTAGTTAGAAGTTCAATCCCCACCAGGTACAGTAGCTGGTTACGTTGTACAGAACTGGGACCCGTTTCTGCCTAAGTTTACAATACAGAATGAAAGTAAAGAAGATGTACTAAAAATAATTGGTCCATATGCAACTTGTGGCTGTTTTGAAGATGTTGACTTTGAGGTATGTTACTTATGAGTGTTAAGAATTTTACGGTTTTGCTGCTTTGAATGAAATTTTTAATCAAAAACCCTGTCATTCTACTCTTAAAGACATTACGTATGTTGCAATAACTTGGGAACAGAATCACAACCATGTGCACTGGAGTTCCAAACTTCTACATGCAGATTTCTGCAGATGTCTTCTGGATGGGATTGACAATTCTGCATCCATTTATCTTCATTTGTCAGGACAAAAAAAAAAAAAAAGTAATTTGGAAGAGCCTTTGAGATACTTAGGGTATGAAAGAGAATGAGAGACTGTTGAAAAAACTGTGAACAGTTTTCTGATGTAAACAAAGCTCTTCCTCTTAGTTACATAATCATAAGAGAACTTCTGTGTTTCTAGCCACATCAGAAGACTTAAATAGGTAATGTTCCTAATTTTGTTATTGTGTGAGGAATTTGCAATCAAGAACATATCTGTCAGTTGTAGGAGACAGCAGACCACAGCAGTGCTGCTGCTGTGACTTGGAGCATATCTGAATCTGAAAAAAAAAAAATCCTCGTGAAAGAAGAGCAAAAGTGGTGTAAACTTGCTTCCCCCCATTTTTCTGTCAGCTCTGACGATTCTGATGTCTCCAAATTTGCAAGAAAGATTCTTTCTTGTATGCCATCCCTATAGTCAAATCTGACACTCGTAGAGCATTTCAACGACAAGAAGAAAAGAACAGCCTGACAACTATAGAGTACTCTGCATGTCAGGACAGAGTCATTAATTCTGTGGAGATATAATCAGTGCGTATTTGATTTATTTACATCTAGGCTTATTCCTTTTATTTTATTTTATTTTTAAATTGGTGCAGGTAAAAGCCCTCAATGAAATGTCGACGATTGGCAAAATTTCCAAGTACTGGTCTGGATTTGTAAACAATGTCTTTACCAACACTGCCAACTTTGGGATCCAGGTCCCAGTAGATCTTGACGTGAAAATCAAGGCAGTGATGATCGGTGCATGCTTTCTCATCGTAAGTATGAAAAATCAAGAGGTAGTCAAGAGCTGGACAGACTGCGACCAAAGAGGTCCTTGCTGTTGGCTGTGACCTGACAAAGGCATACACGCAGTGAAAAGTCAAACCATTGCCTAAAAAGAGCTTGTGCTGCTTTTGACGCTAACATGTTAATATTCATGTGCAATGGTTTCAGCCGTCTAGGATTTGTACAACACAAAATATACATAAAAGGGCAAACCTACTTAAATTACTCACTGCTCTAGAATACCAGCAACCTATATATTTTGGATTTATTAGGTTAAAAACATAACTCGTGTTACTAAAGATTTTTGGATTGTCTTCTGACATTCTTATTGCTCAGTGGCAGAATAATAGAAAATGATTGACTAATCTAATTAATTTATGTAACAAAAGCCTACAAGCACGACTTCTGATATTAATTGTTGCATTTTTGTACTTTCGTTACCATTCACTATTTGTTTACTTGTAGGACTTAATGTTCTTTGAAAACTCTCTGGATGGCTTCTAACAAGATGACAGAAACAATAAAATATGCAGAATGTGTTTCAGTAAGTAAAAATGAACATAAATTGATCTTCTTGCTTTGAAGACTTATATGTTAGATACTTTCTAATTCTTTTTCATTTTCTTCCAGAAATCTCTTGAGCTTTGGACATGATTTTGAACTGCACAAATCCTTGTTCCTTATAGGAAAAGAAAGGGAGCTAATGATGTTGTTTATTAAAATATATCTCTTGTAAATAATAATTTCCCACTTACATTTTACACGCGTTGTAGCTAAACATATACTTTTCCCACAGAGCACTGTTCCAAAGGAACAGTGCTATTCTCTTCTTTCTCTTTTGATCTTCCTGCATGGGAAATCATGAAAGATTAGACGAAGCCTTGCAGCGTCACTGATGAAAGTCTCTGTTTAAAGAACTCTTTGATGCTCTGTGAGTGCTGGTACCAGTTACTAACCACATGAGGGTGTGTTGTGAGGGATTTGGTTTAGCTTTTTCATAATTTTAGAAGTCATTTTCGGATTTGTTATTTAATTAATAGTAACAAACTGAGTTTGAAAGCAACAAATATAAAGACATCACCCAATGGGAAGTTCAACATGGTATCTATTTCAGTGAGTTGAAAGAAGGGATGTTTGCTTGCAATTTATTTTATGGCAAAGATTTATTTAATGAGCTGTGGCCAGAAATTAGGCTTCCAATAGTAGATGGGGGAACTTAAACTCCATTCAGAAAATGTGGACTTTTGCTGTCTGTATTGAAGGCAGGCAGTATGGTTTGAGAAAGTCCCCTATGTGAACACGAATCACTTAGCTTTTGACCTATCTAATGTGAAGCATTTGTGCTCCTCTCCACTCAAGAATTTCATTTAGAAGTTGTTTTTTTTTTCCCGCTCTTTGTAATATCTGATGGTTGATAACTTCTCAATTGGCCTTGTCTGAGGCCATCCAAGAGCAAACACCTCCTTGGAACAGAATTATCTTTTCTCTTTGGCAAGCTCAGGTATTCTCTATGGTAAAACTGTGCAATAGGAGTTTTCTCTGTTAGGTAAGTTTTACATAACTGCTCGCTCCTGCAGTCACAGTATTTCATAATACTGTTCCTAAGCATTCATGCCAACACGGGCTCTTAGGGACAACCCGGGGATTAGGTCCAACCAGCACAGATTCATGAAAGGCAGGTCCTGCTTGACCAACTTGATCTCCTTCTTTGATCAGGTGACCCACCTACTGGATAAGGGAAAAAGTTTTGATGTAGTCTACCCAGGCTTTAGCCACTGTTTAGACACTGTTTCCCACAGCATTCTCCTGCAGGAGATGGCAGCCCATAGCCTGAACAGGTGTGCTCTTCTCTGGGTAAAAAAACTGGCTGGATGGCCAGGCCCAGAAAGTGGTGGTGAATGGCATTGAATTCAGATGCTCCTCAGGAGTCAGTTTTGGGGCCAGCCCTGTTTCAAGTCTTTACTGATTATCTGGATGAGGGGATTGAATGGATCATCACTAAGTTTACAGATGCCACTAAGTTTTGGGGAAGTGTTCATTTGCTTGAGGGTAGGAAGACCCTACAGAGGAATCTGGGTAGGCTGGTTTGATGGACTGAGGCCAGCATTCATTATATACATGCAAGACATAAACAAAAACATTTTGTTGCAAAGTATTTCCTGTATGAATTTACTTATGCTTCTCTCAAAAACTTCAATGAGTTCTTCAAGAAGCAGAGAAGTACCGTAAAATAATCGTGGTAAGAACAGTTTCCAAGGGGAACACCTTACAAATCACCTGGAATGCTAGATTTTGAAACACAAACTGGTAATTCAATTCTTGTAAATAACCAAACACATCAACGGAAGGGAGAGGAGATGATGAATAATTCATAACAATGAAAAAGAGCTAAATTTATCAGGTGATTAATTCTCAACAAATATTTAGACTAATTTTAATTTAATGTTCATGGGTATGAATTCAAACACAGTAAATCCAGGAAGCTGCAACTAACGTTCCCATAGTGAAATTAACTCGGGAACGTTCATAGATTTAAGCAGTATGTTTTAGATTATATACCACACTTAGGTATTTATACACATTTACATATGTCTTGAAAATAACTGCGGTTAACAAGCTCTGACAATCATCATTATTTGTTAACCGTTTCACTACCAGCTGTCGCTGTAATTCCTAGCAGCGCTCAGGCGGGGAGCGCTGCTGTTTCCTTTCCCTGCGCGCTAGCAGTGGGCTTCGTGGGCAAGAAGCTCCCTCCTGTGGAAATATATGGTTTTGCAGAAGGACACAGGTGACGCCAATTTGCTTTTCTCACTAATGTAATTCCGTTGAATTCAGTCCTTTCACTCCTAAATTCCCCTAATTCAAATTGAGAAAAAGAACCAGATTCCTATTTTATTTTATCCTTTGAAATCGCTTTGCTACCTTAGACACGAGCAGCTGTCCTTTCAGCCACAGTCTTGCTTCTTACACCAAACCATGCTCTTGCACTGATGCTGCGCACAGCCAAATGCAGTGCCTGCTGAGACCAGCAGCTCCCTTGTTCTTTGCCACTTTTCACTCCCAATGTCCAGCCTTCTGATATCCCTTAACAAGCCAAAAACATCTCTGAAACAAACGTGTCCAATTCACATTGAATTTAATAGAGCTGTCTTTACCCACAGGGCCATCAATGTCCTTGTAGGTTAGCAATGTGTGCTTGCACATGTTTTCTTCTATATTGCAACCAGATGATGGAATTGTAGTTCTTGCACTTACTGATTTGGTTGCTGTTTTTGTGTGTTAGTCTGGAAACTTGGAAACAAACAAACAAACAACACCACTTGCATATGTGTATGTATGAATGCCACGTTCAAACCCAGTGGCAGCCTCTGGTATGATCCAGAACTGCCTCCGTCTCTGGACAAAGCAAAGCATGGGGACTGTGACAGCTCTTCCTACCAAGGAGAACTTCCTTGGCAGCCTGCTTGGCTTTAGTCCTACCCCTCAGTATCCTGGAAGAAATACAGTGCCAATGCCAGCACTTTTTCAACTAGAAACTCCCTACTTATATGAGGATGAGAATTCAGGTTCACCAAAGATGGAGTTTGATGTGATATCACCAAAGAAAATTAACATTATTTTAAAAAAAATAAAATCTGCAGCTGTGCAAGCTTTCTTACTAACAGCAATGTATTTCATATTTTGGGTGCTCTTTACAAAACTCACATTTCTCAGTTCCCCAGTGGCTCCAATCCCCAAAGAAGAATTCAGTACTTCCCACAGGCACAGGTACAGTCTAAAGTAAAAGCACGTCCTGAACTTCTATACAGAAATACTTTTGTTCTAGTGAAAACCTTAATTCAGCCAAGTGACCAGTTTCCCGCTCCATAGCTAGCTGCTGTGTTGATCTGTGTGATATGCAGTTTTTGTGCTCAGTAGATGGCAGCAACAGTTCATTAATAGAATGGCTTTCACAGACCACAAGGTGTACTCAGGACACTGATTAAAGACCAACACACTTTTAACCTCTTATTTCTCCCTTAACTGAAGATTTTTTTTTCTTTGTTGCCTGATATGAAACCTTTGGTACAAGATGCTGGCTTGTTCTTATCACCTGCTTTTTATAGCTGGATTACAGGTGACAAATATCTCATGAGGTAACATGGGCAGGAGCCAGTCTATGTCAAAGAGAGCATTTCCTTTGGTCAGCCTCAAACCTATCTTCTGCACCTGGAATATCTCTCTATCTTCCTCGGGTGGAGGGAAAAGCTCTGATTCCAGGGCACTCCCCACCTTCTGCAGAAACAAAATGCTGTGTCTAAAAGCAGCTGCTTTGTGGTTTGCTCCCTAGAAGAACGGGGACTTTCTATGGGTAAAATACCTTTGTTCCTGTCCCATATCATCATGGTGCCTTGCAGTGTGCTGTCCTGGGGCAGAGGATGGAAACCCCCAGTACTGCCACAACCCCAGATGACAACGGTACCTGGGAAGAGAGTGGCAACACAGCATCTCTGTAAGCTCTGAGATCTTCTGGTTATCTAATATATTGGGGATATGAAAGTATGTCTCTTTGAAGATGTTGTACAATCAAAAAAAAAAAAAAAAAAACTTTTTAATTTCCTTGTTCTATAATTAGACAAATGTGGAAATGATCCCAACGCAATGTTTTCTAATTGAGGTAAGTGCTTCCTGTATTGAGAGGAAAAAAAAATAATAATTCTTCCTATTTGACTCTCTTCTTAGTTGTATTGCTTTCTTTTCAATTAGGATGATATATTCTAAGTTAGAATCATGCATATTACTTTAACTCAAAGAGCAGCTACAGGTTTTTATGTGTACTTTTCTTTCCTGAAAAGTAGCACCCTTGGTGGGGCAGGGGGAGCTAAAGCTTTAGATCCTTAGGAAAAGTTAGTCCATATTCTGTGAAAGGAGATTTGTTATTTTTTCTGGAATGCAAGATGTTTCGTTAAAAACCTCTCTTAGGAATGGCATCTTCAAAAGCAAATCGCTCCCATTAGCAATTGCCATGAGACTGACTTGTTTATTTATCAGCAGTTAATTCCTTCGCTCCTCTCACATGAAGCTAAGAAATCAGTTTGCAAAAGAGATGAATACTTATTTTTTGGACTGAGACAGCCCAGGCTAGATACAATTTCCTGCTTTCCTTTCCATATTTGTTAATGTTCTTTTATTAGCACAATACTAACCTTTCACAAAATAAAGTTCAGATGGGCAGGTTGATGCATGCCCAGTGATTGTACCCCGAGTACATCAATTCCTTTAACTCAAAGGATAGGAAATTTTTGGGATTGTGAAAAGAGACCTGTAGGTGACTTCCTGATTGCGCATCTCCAGAATTGCCGCTGAAAATTAAGCTAAATTCACAATTAGGTCTTGCATTCCACTCTCTTGCAAAAATGATAACAGAGACCTCTCATCCCCATTATCTTCTGTTTTCTCCTGGCAAAGGATTAGTATTTCTGTAGGAATCAGAGCCTTGTCCTCATGTATCCTGATAGCCTCAAAGTCTACTTGAAAGCTTCAGATTTGCATTGAACTCTCTATGCTACAAGTCATGTCAACAGGATGTGTTACCTTGGTGTGTTTCTCCACGCTGAGATACTTCAGGGACTTTTTCACTCTGTGACAACCACATCAGGTAAGTGCTCTACTTGCAGTGCAGTTATTTTGTATTAAAAAAAAAAAAAAAGACATAAGCTACCATTGCTCCATACAGAAATACTTCCTGGCCAGAAATTGCTAGATACCAGCAAGCAGAGTGAAGGAGTAACTTGAACAATTCAGACAAAAATGTAAGAGACCAGAAAAAAACTGGAAATGGGAAAGGAACTGTAGGGAACAGTGTCAGTGTAAACGGGCAGGGTGTGTCTTCTGGCATGCTTTGTTCCTAACAGTGGAGAACCTGGGGCTGACGCTGACATGAAGCGTGCCAGTAAGCATTACACCTGAAGAAAGGGTACATATGCAAGTCACAAAAGCTTTTGTAAGCTAAAATTGTTTGCTTTAGCTGCAGGAAGCAGAACTGGTGGCAGAAAGCCATTTTGCCTTGATTTTCAACAGAAAAGTCATCTCCTCTAACAGCTGTGTGCATGTGAGTCCTGCTCTGAAACAGGCTGGAATGCTGTTGGCATAAGAAGATGCAGTTATATGGCTAGGAGAAAGAATCAACATACATCAGACTTGACCCCATAGTGACCTGCTTGCACAAGCAGCCTCAGCTTTCTCTGAAGCTTTTAGGTCAATTGTTCTGTCTGCCCTTGTCAGAACTGGGTTTGGCACGTTTTAGGAACAGTGTGTTTAGTTTGAGCTGTCACCACCCTGGTTAGCATTGTCCCAATGTTATGAAAGGTGGAATGACTAGGAAGCCAGAGAAGCACTTGACGAAGATGAGTAATTATGAAACAATAGTGTAACTTTCAGGAAAGACTGAGACCATCGCAGAACAGAGCGGACATGGAGTGAAGAAGGACAAGGTGAGAATGAAATATTTATGGCAAAAGTAAAAGAATGCTTTCAACTACTTGTTAAGTCTAATTACATCCTTAAAAATATAAGCTCAGTGGAAAAAATATGGCAGAGATTCATTACAGAACAAACATCTGCTTGGTGAAGTCATTTTTCTAGTGCACTGCTGATCTGTTCAAGCCATAATACTCTGCTCTTTTGTAGTTAAGAAATATCGCTGAGAGAAGATGATGAAGAAAGAAAAAATGTTTTAAGAAAATCATTGACTACTCGCAGCTCTATTATACTCAAGAATTGAATCAGGAACTGGATGGCAAATACAATTTATCACACCACGTATTGAACAAGTCCATCAGAAATGTGAGTAACAAATCTGACATTCTTAGTTTAAGAACTAATAGGACTAAGTTTAAATCTCCTGAAAACTGTGCTCAGGATTTCTAAAGAACAGTCCCAGAGTGAGAGAGAGGTTTCTGCTTTGATAAACAAGTGGAGAGTTGTTAGAGTTAGGGTAGTATGGTTAGGTTGTGGTTGGACTCGATGATCTTCAAGGTCTTTTCCAACCTGAGCGATTCTACGATTCTGTGATAAACAATCTCTTCATGTGTAATTACTCCACATCCAAAGTAATTAATGAGATAAGGGAGTTCACTGTACCTGATGTTGACATCTAAGTAAGACTTAATATTAAATAGAGTTTATGTCTGATGTAAATATCTGTTTTCCTTTTCCAATGTTTTCCCCTTTCCGGCCTCCTGTATCTCCTAGTTCTTGTCCTGGGTTTCCTTGAAACATTCTTAATTGACCTGTCGGTCTGCATCATAAACCTTTGCAGATCTAGTGTCCCTTTTACCTTCACAACCTCCTAATTAATCTACTTCATTAATGAAATCCTCAATGATGCCAGAACATTCTTATCAGATGAGTCACTTATGCAAAAATGTGCACTCTGTTCTCCGTCTGGCTATGTGTTCAGGTATTGTAAAATTCGCACTCAGGCTGATAAGAAGTGAGTGCACAGTGTACCTCATGGCACAGCCCTAATAGCACCCTTTGTGACTCTTCCATGTTTCAGCACCTCTCTTACTGACCTATGGCACCTGATTAACTATCACATCATATAATAAAATCACTGACCAGTTTGGGTTAGATGGATCTTAAAGCCATCTACTTACCAAACCCTGCCATGGGCTGGCTGCTCCCCCGACAGCTCAGCTGCCCAGGGCTTGAGCACCTCAAGGGAGGGTGGAGCATCTACTGCTTCTCTGGGCAGCAGTGCCAGGGCCTCACCACCTTCTAAGTAAAGAATTTCTTCTTAATATCTAAATTTCTAATCCAAACGTCCCCTGATTTATTTAACAACAGTAAAGTCAAAGTGAAGTGGTTTTTTTTTTTTCAAAAGCTCAAATTCAAAAACAATGCTAGGATGTATAAGACTAGCTAACTGTAAATAAAAACAGATGTGGGGCTGAGTGCTTTCAGATACTCTTTGTTGTACTGGAACAAAGTGAGGCTGGGCAGTGGAGGAGACCAATATGTAGACCCCTTCATGCCTAACACCAACCTATTCACTACAGCCATGCAGCCATGTGGTGTGGATGGCTGCTGTCTGCAGTGCTTTATTTCCACGTGGCTTTCAAAAATGGAGGTAAATGCAATTGAAGGCCCCAGGCAGCCTAACAGAATTGACCAGCTGCGATTCCCTGTTTATGCACTGGCAGGGATGCTGGGTCTGGAAGTATCTGAATGGCAGCAGGGCAGCATGCAGGGCCACAGGGGCGCAGGCATCTTGTCAGTGCTGGGAACTCTAAGGCTGCCTACAACAGAGCCTAAACGCAAGACCCTGATGGTGAAATAAGCTTAAACACAAATGCGAGCAGCTCTAGACTGCTTGGAAAGCTGGAGTGTGCACTTTGACACACACACTGTGTGCCTGCAGGATAGGGAACAGGAGCTGGCTGGAGCTGACTTTCCTGATTTATTCTTAAGCCTGAATTACTTATGCTTTTTAGGTAAAAAATCATGCCTATGGGAACGTTGCTCATAAATACCTATTTGCCGGATAAGGAACACTTCAGCAGAAAACAGGATTTACTCAAGCTGCATTTAACATTTGTAGTATCCCAGTTAATCCTAAATGTTGCAAGCTGTAGCATAGTATTTCTTTTTGCCTAGTTGTTCTTTTCCACTCTATATCCTGATTTCCTACTCTAAAGCAGCTTATGCTCATTCATTTGCAATGCTGGCATTCAAAATTTTGTCTGGCTGGCAGCAGCAAAACTTCATTTAGCCTTCTCCTCAGTGTAAGAAATGGGTTTGGCAGAAAAACATTTAGTAGCAAAATCCAGTATGTTGTGTTGATTCTTTCATTGTTCTATTGTTTTTCCCCTTCTGTTCCAACATTTTGAGAAAAGATACACACCAACACTTGCTTGTTCACTCTGGGAATTGCTTTTCCTATTTAAATGACTGTCCCTGTCTGCCTAAGTGGACACCTAGCAGGTCAACATGGAAGAACCAAGCAATTCAGAATTCTTATCCATACCACTCTGTTACTAGAATGCTGATTTAACAAAAAATGCAATGGTATTAAAACTATTTTCTTCATTTCCCTTCCCAAAGGAGAACCTGAAAGTCAGTAGTCAGGCTGCAAGCTTGATGCTGACTTGACATTGTTAAATGAAATCAAATAAGCTAACAGTCCTGTTACCACAGCTACAAATCTTTAATACTGACTTATTGTGTCAGCTGTGTCTTCTAGTTTTGTGAATACATCTTTTATTATCTTAGTTAAGGCCTAGTTACTGAACCAAAAACAGAGCACAACTGGGATGTGGAAGACATCGGCTCATTTCTCTGTCTGTCAGCTGTTGCTGCGAAGGAATCTGTTTGCCCCAGTTCCATACCAGAGAAATAAGAATAGTAATTTATCTATTTTTCATATGTTTAGATTTAAGCTGCTTTTTGCTACATGTTCATCATCCCTGACACAGTGGTGGTGATCTGATGTTACTCTCGCCATGTTTCATCAACAGGATTGAGGTCTCATCATCGCGGTTGGATGCTACAGGATCCACCAAGGTGCCAGAGTTTAGGAGGACTGGAGGTTGAAGTGGCTGTGATATTCTAAGCACTCTGAATGCACGCAACATATCTCAAAAATGGGATCAGGAATCTACAAATAATGTTTAATTCCAGTTAAACATGATAAACCTGAGGAAGGAGCGTGGTGCCTTTCTCACTTCTTTTGAAGCAATTCCAACTTTTCTCTCAAATGTTTAAGGCACTGATTAAATCTGCTCTCTGGGGCAAATAAAGAGGCACTATGTGATCTGACTGACAGCCTGTTGTGACTCCAGTGATCTCAGTTGGAGAAAACAAGCTGGGTATTGTTCTGTTTGGCAGGCTGGCCATTTACTTAGTGTTGTGTAAAACATGGCATATTTCTTCTGCCCCTGCAGGTGAGTAGGTTTCTTCCAGAAAAATGTCTGAGAGAAAAAGGAAGGATATGCTGCTGTTCTCCTTGACAGGACAAAGATATCCTTATGCAGGAAACAACATTCATCCCTATGTCAAACAAGCATGTTTGTTGAAATAGAGTATTTAAATCTTTGCACGTAAGTCGAACTAGCTAACAACTTCATTCCTGTTGAAAAGGAAAAATATTATCATATACTACCATGTATTTCTGATTTTCCAACCATATGAAAATATACATTTATCTATTCCTGACAAAAATTGGTGCCCAGTATTAATTCTCTTAGTGGACTCAGTGCAGATATGCGGAATAATGACAACTCCAGATTAGATTTGTATGTAGCTGGTAGAACCACCAAAATAAAATCCCCAAATCTCTGACATGCCCATTGTCTAGATGAAATTCAAAATATGGCCAGAATAATATATATATATTTATTTATTTATAAAAGTTGAATATTCAGATGAAGACTTTATTTTGGGAGATAGAAAAGGGCAGCTGTAGAATATATAAGGTTACAAAGTGACCTTCATTTACTCATTTCTCTTTTGTCTGGTAAGGATTCTAATTTAATTTGCAGTCTTGGGATTCATGCATGCACAAATTACTGCAATTAGATGTGTCTGTTTTAGATTAAGTGCAGCTTGCTTTCCAGAGATATAGATGGAAAACAGCAGCCCTAGCATGGACTACAAGATCTATAGATCATCCTGAGTGCAATCACACGACATGTGCAAGACAATCAGGGAATTAAGCCCTGCCAGCATAGGTTCATGAAAGGCAGGTTGTGCTTGACCAGCCTCATCTTCTCCTATGACGAGACGACCCACCTGGTTCAGCAAGACCAAGTGCCATGTCCTGCACTTTGGCTACAACAAACCCAAGCAAAAGTATAGGTTAGGGGCAGACTGTCTGGAAGGCTATGTGGAGAAAAAGGATCTGGAGGTCTTAGTTGATATTCAACTGAACATGAGCCAGAAGTGTGTTCAGGTGGCCAAGAAGGCCAATAGCATCCAGGGTTGCATCAGAAATAGAGCAGCCAGCAAGAGCAGGGAAGTGATCTTCCCTCTCTTAGTTCTGGTGAGGCTGCATCTTAAGTACCGAGTTCAGCTTTGGGCCCTGACTGTAATCATGTCACTGAGGCCACTGAGACCCTGAGCGGTCTCCTGGAGCATGTCCAGAGCGTGGCAGTGAAGCTGTGAAGGGTCTGTAGCACAAGTCTTAGGGGGAGCAGCTGAGGGAACTGGGATTGTTCAGTCTGGAGAAGAGGAGGCACGGGGGAGACCTTTTCACCCTCTACAACTCCTGAAAGTAGGCTGTGACATGGTGGGAGTCGCTCTCTTCTCCCAGGTAACGATAGGATGAGAGGGAATGGCCTCAAGTTGTTCTAGGGGAGGTTCATTAGGAAAATATTTGAAAAGAGTGGTGAGGTACTGGCACAGGCTGCTCAGGGAAGTGGTGGAGTCACTGTCCATGGAGGTGTTCAAGAACCATGGAGATGTGGTACTTAGGAACATCGTTTAGTGGGCATTATTAGTGGTAAGTTGGGCTAGATGATTTTACAGGTCTTTTCCAACCATTGTGATTCAATGATTACATGAATGTATAAAGAAAAGGAAGTAGAAGGTGATTTCACCAACACTGCCATCAGCATGTGGGCCACACTGCTGCAAGGGATTTCTTTCCTTAACAATTCACTGTTTCTTTTTTTGTTGTTCTTGCCATGACTGAAAGTACACAAGTTTGTGTGTATATATATATAATATATATATAAAAATAATATATATATATAATATTATATATATATATATCTTTTTTTCTCCAAGGAAAAAAAAAAATAAAATTTCAGCTATCATTTATTTCAGTTCTGATGTGGGCATACAGCATGGAATTATTATCCGTACTTAAAAACACATGGCCCATAGGTGCTGCAAAATTGTTCAGAGCTGTGAGATCTGACAAAGTGACTGTTGTGCTACTGAGGTGATGATGATGCCATATGTAATATATTTCAGAATAGTGCTACTACTTATTACCTCCTAGACACAGTGAAAAATCAGTTTTAAGAATCAGTTAGCCAGTCGTTAACATAAAGGTGCAGAATATCTTTTTCCTTCTTGTGAAAATGCATTTTTTGTTTCTAGTGATTTATCAAAGAGTTGCTTTCTATTATTACTTGTCTGAAAATACTCTTAAGCTTTCTGAAGTAGGAATGTATGATGAAAGAAAAGGATCGCAGCAGCCTAGAGATGGAAATATCTATGTATGCTGCATGCAGGCTCTTGTTTGTTGCTGATGAAAATGCACAGCTGATGGTGGTGTCTGTGCTGAAAAATAGTGTTCCATAGCTGAGAACTTGCTCTATCAAACAGTGTTATTGTGCTTTTTGTTCCTCTTATAGTTTTCACAGCAGTAAATACTTTGAGTGACCTATGTACAACAACCCTTATAAAACCAGGCCTTTCAATAAAATACATCCCTAGCTTATCTATGTGACATGGATATTAACTGCATCTTTGGGTAATCTTTAACCTGAAAACATATGGAACATACATGTTTCTACGAAGCAGCTTCTACAAAAGTAGCTGAGCTGTAAGGAAGTATTTAACGCTTTACTGTCTAGGTCATCCATTAACAAATTTTGATGAAATATAATTGATTTCTTCCTTCTTTCTTCTTCCTCTTTTTATTTTTATTTTTTTTAATTTAAATATAGGCATAGGCCTTTGGGCCCCAAACTACAGCTGCTCTTATCTGATAGACCACTAGTAGCTCTCCTGGTACTCTTTTTGAGCTTTCCCATTCTCCATCACCAATGGGCTGCTTATGGATTAAGGATGGTGAGCGGTTCCCCAGGGTCTAGATGGAAAGCGCAAGAATTCAGGACAGCTTTAAAAATTACAGGACAGTTTCCAATTGTCTCAATCTGCTCAGACTTAAGAACAGCATTCCTCCGAGCAGTATGGATCCTCTGTGCTGTCTGTATTTCTCCAACTGGTACCATTGTATCGGTAAGCATTAAAGTGTTACTTATCAGATATCAGAATGAACCAAATGCAAGCCAATCACTTCCTTAAATCAACAGTGTTTTCATAGAATGGTTTAGAATGGAAAAAACTTTAAAGATCACTCAGCTCCAAACCCCTGCTGGGAGCTAGTTGCCATCCACTAGACCCAGCTGCCCAGGGCCCATCCAACGTTAAGCATCTTCAGGGCTGGGGCATATATCGCCTTGATGTCTTTCCCACAGATATGGGTACGTGGCTATTAGGTCTCCCCACAGCCATTTTTTCTCCAAGCAGAAGAAACTCCATGTTCTCTGCCTCTTCTCACAAAGTACTGCAGCCTTGACTGTCCTGGGACCCTGAGCCGAAAGTTAGGAACCAAGGTCCTTCTGGCACAGAGCGCTCGGGGCAAAGCCAGACACAACATTCCAGCTTGAACTTTAGAATTACAAAGTATAGGAGTGCAATAACTGCCCTCCAAGGACTGCTGTTAGAACAACTCAAGATGCTCAGAGCTTTTTTTCCAGTTTTCGGGAAACTGTGCACAAACTGCATCCAGGATAAGCACTAATCAAAAGCAGTTTCATTTTGTTTTCTTCCTGAGCAATGCTTCCCATAAACCAGCTGGTTTTGCCAAATAGCGTTTGAAACAAGTAGCTGAACAGCCAAACTCCTTAAAGAGCACCTGCATTACTTCAGTTCCAGAAGTTGTACCGGGGGAGCCATTACCACTTTAAATTTCGAGCCGTGCAAGGCCTTCTAGAAATACTCAGGGCTTTTTTAGTGCTCGCCCTCGCACTCCGCCACCAGCGCCGAGCTCGGGTCAGCGGCGGGCTGAGGCCGCTCCGCGAGGGAGCCGCGGGCGGGGCCGTGACGCACGCCGGGCTCCGCGCTCCCGTGGCCGTGCCCCTTCCCGGCCGCGCCGGTCTCTGCTTTGCTCGGGGGCGGTGGCGCTTCCCGGCCGCACCCGCCCCGCTGGGCTAAGAGCCGCGCTGAGCGCTGCTGCAGTGCGGAGCGGTCTCCAGGTGCTGGCGGGGCGTGTGCTCGCCGCGTAGGATTTCCTCCGGGTGCTTCTGAAGGTATCTGTATTTTTGTCACGGGGATGCTTCATGATCAGAAGGGCCACGTTTTTCACGGGGGGATTGTGCGGTGAAATAGAGAATCTCTCTCTTCGAGGATAGCCGGCTGATAGAAGTGGCACAGTAACTCCTTCCGAAGGTGGGCTTATGGGGAGATCTCGTTTCTGGCAGTGCTGAGGTTGCGTGGTGGTCTTGGTGGCACTGGGGGCTCGGTGGTACCCGGGTGGGGCTGAGCCGGGATGCTCTGCACGATGCCCCCAGGGCTGTAAGCAGGGCCCTGGGGATCAGGGAGGTCTGTGTAAGGGAGGAGGTATGTCGCTGCACCAGGAAATAATTTTGTGTCACTTGCAGGTCATTAAATTCCTTCTTGAAAAGCTATTTTGTTAATTTTGACCAAAAAAAAAAAAACAAAACAAAAAAACACCTGTTTAATTAAGTAAACAGGGTTAAAGTCTAAGCAGTCAAGGTTAAAATCCAGCGTTTGAACAGTCTGAAATAATGAGCGATAGAAAGAGGTGCTATAAAGCTAGCTGGGGTGAACTAATGCTTGCCTTACGGCTATTTGACTCCTCCTGTCTGTTTTCTAAACCACGTGCTTTCTCAGAAAGGGCCTGTTTGGGTCTGTAAGTGGCACTGTGCATAGTGTTTGTGTCTGGGGACACGTGTTAATGTGCTCTTGGCAGCATTGTGCACAGCTGGGTCGGAGATGGAGCTGGTGGTCACGAATGGAAGCAGTGCTGCTTTTCAGATAGAAAGCAGAAGCCCAGCAATGAAGTGAATTAAGGGGTCTTGAAAGCAGTGCATCATCGCTTCAGACGTGCATCGGGGTAAGATCTAGAAACTGAGGCTGTGTAATGCAGTTCTGAGAAGAGTAAGGGGTGGAAAAGCAGCATGGGCATTGTGTGGCCCATTGAAAGGGGTTGGTCTCAGGGCAGTGTTCCCATACTGTTCGCTAAACTGGAACTGCTTTGTTCTGACTTCCTTCAGAACAGATAATTCCACAATTTCCTTTCCAAAAGTTTTTTGCTGACCTTAGGTGCCTGGGCTCTAACTTCCCCGAGAGGGAAAAATGCAGCGCCTTGCACCTCAGTGCCACTTCTGTGGTACTTGTTAATGATTTGAGAAAATAAAGAACAGGTTGGGTGTGTTGTTGTTGTTGGTTGACAGAGTTTAAGCTGTGGAAGGCCCTGAATGCAGCATGTCAGAGCAGAGGGAGAAGCCTGGGAGCTCCTGCTGTGCAGGCAGGTGGGCAGCACAGTGCTTCCAGGCAGGGGCAGTGGGTGAGGCTGCTGGGCCTGGTCTCTTTCACTCCTGAAGGCACAGAGCCTCTTCCCTTCCACCTTTGCTTGGTGGCAGGGCTGGCTCTGCCTGGAAATGTCAGGTTTCCCAGTGATCCAGAAACCATTTCATGAGTGTCATTACTGGAGCCTGCCAGCAAAATCACTCCTGCTTTTCTCCGAGTAAACTGAACCCTGAGAGGTCTCTCCTCTACCAGGGGAGGGTATTTATATCCCCTGTGAGCCCAGAGCTATGAAATCCCATGGGAATCTCAGCCAGGAAAGGGCAGTGCTTGACCAGAACGGAAGACGTCTTCCGGGCACATGGTCCTATTCCCATCCCTGACCCCAAATAGCTACAGTGTGGGGCAGGCCCAGAGCCCCAGCCAGGTCCTCTCCACAGGGATGTGCCATCAGCGGGGCTTTGTGGCACCCAGCATGGCATCTGAAGGATCCTTACAATCCTGGCATAACTTGGGTTGGAAAGGTTTAAAGCAACTGGTCTGCTCATTGCTACGTTTTCATCACCGGGTGGGAATTTCCCCATGCATATGAGAATGGCTGAACAATCTATTGTGTAACACAATTGAGAAAAAATGAGATTTTGTTCCTTGTTCCTGTGGTACTTCAGAATTTTACATTATTTCACAATCGATGAAATCACACGGATGAAAAGCAAGGTGTGACTGGCAGTGCTGTGACATAGTAGCTGAATCACAGGTGGCAGGAGTCTGGATAAAAGCAATAGAGAAATAACGTTAGTGAAAGAAATAATGTCAACACTAGTGTCGTGTCTGATGAAATGGGAGGTGAATGTTGTAAAGTCTTTACTAGCTGTAGAGCACATCTCAGTATTTCTGAATCTTCAGTCACACAGAGGAGTGTGCGAGTGGCTGTAGGGAGAGAAAATACTCTGGGCTAATATAAAGGCTTTTTGTTGCATAAATCCTATGGTTCTGTCTCTGCTTGACCTTTACTAAAGGGTTCAGTTGTAATTCTTAGTACCTTTCAGAAGTTCAGGTATGCAGAACATCTCACAGTGTGAGCTGATATATTGAAACTTGCAAAAGATCCATTTACGTAAATATTTAAATCATCTTGAATTTGTGTGTTCCCACAAGCTGGAAGTTTTGTCAGCATATTTTAATATGGTCATATATTAAATGTGACACACCAGATTATCATCAGCAAGGACAAGGTTTAATTATGTAGTTTTAATGCATTATTTCAGATTTTTTCTTTTATTTTTGAAGACGCGTTTTTTTAGATTACTTTTTCTTTTTTTTTTAAATCTATACACATACTGAACTAGAATCCAATTAAAATACATAAAGCAGCATGGTATTTCTGTTAGCAGGGTATGCAAGTAAAGAAGAAAAAGGATATAGAGAAGATCACTTTTAAAACTAATTTATTAAACAAAGAGGATGTTGTGTTAAGCTGGGCAGTGAGCTGGATGCCACATTGTCCCACAGCCATTCAGCATCCTCTTATGACACTAGCTTTTGCTGTGAGAATGAGAAACAGGAAATAACTGCTTTCAGATTAAATTCCCAGTTTTGTGTCTTTGCTGAACTTGACTAGCTGGATGAACTGTAACAGACAAAATATATCTCTAGGTTTTGCTACATTCTTTTGCTTATTCAAGTCCTTTTGGAAGCCCTAGAACAATAGAAAAAGGCAAACAGCTGGCCCTTTTGCTGGCCCAGTCTGCTGTGGATGCTCACTCGCATGTGCTAGCCCACCTCTTATCATATATGCAATTTTTGTCTTCATGTATAATATCTAGCAGGGCCACTTGAAAAGTGAAATAGCGTGGAGATTTATTAGTGGCAGCTGCTTCAAGATTTACCCAAGCAGGTTTTGTTGGACGCATGGATAACTAAACTAATTGCTCTGAAATTACTGTTATACTCGATCATATGAATTGCACGATGACTTTGGATAGTTGCACAATGTCATCCTGTGTTGCAGTTGAATAACCGATGCTTTCCAACGAATTGAGCATGGTTTCAGGATACACAAAGCAGGAGTGCAGCAGGCAAAGGCAATGCAGGGTTATTTCGTGGTGGCCTGGCCCAGGAGGAAGCTGAGATATTCAGTTATTTTAGCTTCTATTTGTAATTCAACAGTTCCATATAATTTAGACATTCATATATCTTTTACTGCTAATTAATAGAAAATGGTGAGTGGCCTTTCTGTGAAATTGTATATTCAAAAACCAATAAATAAATATGTTGTTTTGCAGAACGGTTACAAGCAGATCCATAGCAATGCAAGGTGAGTAAAACAGACCAGTGTTGTCTTGTGTTATAGTAAAGATAATATTCTTTCTTAAGTATTCAAGCAATGTTAGTTTAAACTGATATAAATTTGCCTAATAATTTTAGGAAAGATGTCTGAATGTTTGGATTCAAATGTCAAAATTTAATAATTTACACAATGTTTTCAAATCTTGAATCATCTTGAAACACAGGCTACTGCTGCTTACATGCTGATGTCGGTAAATGTTACTAAATTCATAACTCTGAAGTCAGCAGGTTAGCTGACAAATTAGCACATTACTAGCAAGAAGAACTTGGGAGAAAATTTTTATGTAGTGGAGAAGGAGTTGTAGTTGACCAGTCTGTTCTGTACTGGAGTGCAGCCTGTCAGTTCTGGGACAATTCTTTGCATTGAAGCTTCCTGTGAATGTGAATGAACAAATGTCCCTGTGGTGCAGATGGACAGTGAGCTGACCCTGCTTGGCAGGGCTTGGCTAGGTGACCTCTGGGTGTGGCTTCCAGCTAAACAGTTCGAATCCCAGTTCTGTTATTCTGTGATATTCTTCGTGATAGGCATGACAGTGCAGTAACTGTCCTTTTTTAAGCATGCTAAGAATCAGAACCCCTTTGAATTATGTCATGCTGTAATACACGTGTTTTCAATAGATAAAATACAAGCTCATTTTGCTGTTCAGGAAACAGCAGCTTAATTTCTGTACACCTACTCTGAAAAAGAAGGCGGTGTTAGGGACCTTTTCCCCTGTGTGTGAGAGGAGTACTCAAAGCGTATATGTTGCATTCTTACAGCAAATAACCCAGCACCAGCACCTGGATTCTCCAATACTGGCTATGCACCAGGAAACCAGGCCCCATATGGCCACCCGCAGTATGCAGCTGGGAACTTCTACGGTAGGTTGCCTGGCTACAGATCTGCTGTTTGGTTATGAGGTGTGCATGGGAAGCAGGAGGTTCCATCAAAGCAGCCATCTCCGATTTACAATTCTGTATTAATTCTGTAACGTTTCTGTTAATATCTGTTCTGGTGGAAAGTCAGACTCTTTCCTTCTTGGTGTTACATGTTTATGTGTGCTGCGCAGTCCAGCAGTGGAGGAAGTCTGCAATGCTGGCTGTTCCTCAGTGGTTGCTGGGGGTGAGCTTAGTAGGGAAGTGCTACTGATGCAACACAATTAATGTGTGGCATCTTCTTGCTGATGATCAGATTTTTTTTTTAAATGTTATTTCAGTTCTTCAGTTTCTTTTTCTCTAGTAATCCAGAAGTGAAGGATTGTTTTCCTATCACAGTTCTGTCGTTTGCATAGATCCTATTTCTGTTTCTTTTCCTGCTGCTGTACTTTGCATGTGGTTGTACCTTCCATTTATTTCCTCTTTTTAATCTCATTTTCTGCTCCCCATTCAGAACAGAGCACTCACAAATAGCTTATCACTCTGGCAGCAAACTGCTTTCTGAAGAGCCAGATCAGCTGAACAGTATCTAACAGGCTCCAGGCATAAATTATTTATAAAGTGCAAAATGTTTGGCTTAAGTTTCTGTGCTGTGTGTACATTAAACCTTGTGCGTCTTTCAGCTAGGAAATCCGAGTTCTGTGAGTACGCCTTCAAGGAACGAGCACGTGCTCCCTGTGCTCAAGGCCAGGGAGCGGCTGTGTTACCCGAATGCTGCATGTAACACACGCTGATAGCCGTCAGCTCTGCAGGAGGGTGGGTCCTTATCTGCGGTGGGCGGTGCTGCTGTTGCGGGGCTGTACGCCGCGCCTGCATGCGCTGTATGGTTTATGGCCGCAGCGTCACCTTTCACGTGAACCAGTGTGTTTTATAACAGAATGAGGCACTGGTGCAAAGGTTAACCACGACGTCTATGAGGCAACATCTCTGGAACCACTCGTCTTGGGACTTTCTACTAAAGTATTCATGCTGGTTTCTCCTCGCAAGCTCCTGCGTGCTTCTGAGCAAAATACAGAACTGTGCATCTGACTGGAGCTGTCACCAGCCTGCCGTAACGGTAAACGGGGGCAGCTCGCCCTTCCCGTTCCGCAGCTGCTGGTGACGAAGTCAGAGCTCTCCCGGCACGGGGCTGCTGGCGCCACCTAGCGGTACGCCGCAGGACTCCCTGCTGCGGAGGTGCTGCGACCCGCTGCCGCACGGGAGGGAGTCCTTCGAACAGTTCTAACTAATCTCCGTGTGAATAGTATAGTGAATACTATGCTCAAGAGAGACGCATTTGTTTATTTCATTTAGTTTTGTCTGGTGTGATCAGAGCATCCCAATCCGGCATAACTTCCTTCATGACAGTTGTAATATCCCTAACTGAAATACGCTGTAGATATGAGAATCTGCGTAGTTCAAAATAATTTATATGTTCTTTTCTTCTGAAGGTCCACGATACAATTCTTTTTTCAAGACCTCAGTTCCCTAACTGCGTCTCTCCTGTCTCTTCGCCAGGCACTCCTGCACCAGGGCCCTATGCTTACCAGGCACATCCCATGGGAAACCCACCCGGAGCTGCTGTTCCACCCATCCAGAACCAGCCTCCCGGGACCATCTGGATGCCCATCCCTCCTCCTATTCCCAACTGCCCTCCTGGACTGGAATATCTCACACAGGTACCTGCACCCTTTATCCTTCCCCAGGAAACATGTGGTCACCTGAGAAGCAGCCTGCACCTGGGAGAAAGCAAGAAAACACATCTGTCTTTACTGCAGCTGCATGAGTTGCTGCTTTTAGGCTGCTGTGTGGGGCCTCTTGATGAGTGATGCACATGTGAGTGTGGAAGTGCCTGTTATGGCCAGAGCACTTTGAGGGATACCCACTCCTTCTGAGTGTGATGCTAAAGGACAGTGGGCACAGAGCAATTGCATATCTTTCCCATTTCTGAAGCTACTGTTTGAGAGATGTAATGCAATTTGTCAAGATGCATTACATTTATATGTATACATATACAAGCACCTGTAGCACAATATATGAGCTTGCTTTCTTACATGATGCTTTCTCAGTGTCTCTAATCAAATGTAACAAACTTAGAAAATGTTCGCAGCAAAATGAAAATTGCTCCCATGTTGCAGTATATATCACAGGAAACACCCTTTGACTCTAAAAGTGTAGTTTATGTCATCACTGGAGTAAATACAAAGGCCTTATGCTGATGTTTATGGATGTGCATATTTCTCAGAAAATAAACCAATACCAAACTTGGTGTTTCCTTAGTTTCACTCAGAACTGAGCAGTAGCTGAGGTTCTGCTTTAAAATTTTTGAATTTCCTCCTAATGGTTCCTGCTTTTCTCTGTGCAGATTCCTGAGGCAGGCATCTGACATGGGGATTTCAGACTCTGTAGTGTTACGGAGTCACACCAAGTTGTGAAAGTAGTACGTTAGACCTGCATGCCTGTAGCCAGACCAGTCTGGTACAGCTTCCATCATCTGCTCTGGTGCTTGTAACACTGTTCTGCTAAAATGAGAGAGAGACATGAGTCATGTCTGCAGCTTTACTGATAGATATCAATCTCTGACAAATGTATTGACATTAACATTGTATTCTGAAATGAAACAATGTTTCTTAAAACTGGTATATCCTAGTTACAACTTGCTAACTATTTATTCTGTTTTATTTTTCAACCATGAACAGATTGACCAGATACTAATTCATCAGCAAATTGAACTTCTTGAGAGTAAGTGAAATGTTTTTATAGCAGATTGGCTTATATGATTGACTCTTGACATCTTATATTTGTTTAGCTATGAATCCTGATTGTGAGGCCTTTTTGTGGCTTTCTGAATATGAAGTTAACTGTGCCCTCTGGAGCCCTTTTCTGCTTCACCATACCTTCTGCTGTTCCCTAAGAAACTTCCCGCTGTGTGGCTAGGAATGGTAATGCTTGCTCTTGCAGCAGGCACCCATGACTGGAGGGAGGGGAACTGATGGACGTCTCCATACTCTTTCAGTATCACCATGTTCGTAGTGCTTGCTTGTCCTTTTTGAACTTCTGTTGGGCTGCTCTGCTTGAGGGCCCTTCCCCACTGCTCCCTCTATCAGAGCTGCCTCTGATGGTCTCCAAATGAGGCTTTTCCAAGCAGTAGGTTAGGGTTAGCTTGGTACTTTTATTATTTGTTGTTCATGCAGATGCACCTCAGGAACTAACAGTTCTGTTACTTTTTTCAGTTTTTATTGGATTGGAATCAAACAACAAATATGAAATCAAGAATTCATTGGGACAAAGGGTGTACTTTGCAGCAGAGGACACTGATTGCTGCACAAGGAACTGCTGTGGGCCAGCACGACCTTTCACTATGAAGATTATGGACAATCTGGGTCATGAGGTGATAAGGCTGGAGAGACCCCTCAGGTGTTCGTCATGTTTTTTCCCCTGCTGCTTGCAGGAGGTGAGTCACTTCTCACTGTGAGGGATAAGATCTTCTTTAATATTAATGAATCTCAGGTGATGATTATGGACGGAGTCTCAAATCTGAGCCTTCTCAGAGCTCTTACTGACAGATGTGTAGTAGCTGCACCCTATGAGGCCTTGACTTTCAGGATGCTTAGAATCTTTCCTTCACATACATTGATCTTTGCAGTTTAGACCCATAGCTTATATGTTTTGTAGCTCAGGAGTATGCTGTTGATTTCAGTGAAGGTTGAAGTTGCGTATTGGTTTTGGAATATGTGTTCAGCTTTCTGAAATTGTTTGCAGAAAACCTAGTGCGGCTTCATTGGAAAGCTGGGTTGTTATGGAAGAATAAGTTGTGTTCAGTTTGCATATTACTGTGTTTTTTTTGTCTAATGAATATCTTCAAGCGTATAAAACTGCTTCACGTGGGGATTTTCTTTTTCCTCTGAAGATAGAAATTCAGGCACCTCCAGGAACACCGGTAGGTTATGTTGTCCAGAATTGGCATCCCTGCTTGCCCAAGTTTACTGTTCAGGATGAGAAAAGAATGGATGTACTGAAAATTAGTGGCCCTTGTGTCGTCTGCAGCTGTTGTGAAGATGTTAATTTTGAGGTATGTAATGCTAAGAATTGTTTGTATATATCTCCTTTCAAACAGTATTTTGATAGTAGTCTGTTGCTTCTCTTATTACAATTATACTGTGGTATATACAAAATAATTAGAACGTAATCTTTTAATGCTAATATAGTCAATTCAGTTCTCTAGGTAGGTAGATCATTCTGGAAAAGCCTGGCAAACTTCCAGAAATCACATATGAAAGACACTCATCTGAGACCTGATTCCTTGTGATTGCATGCAAATCTCTTAATGGAAATTTAGAAGCAAAATCTTTTTTAATCCATGGTGTTACTCCCAAACAGGAAAAAAAAAAGTCATTATCAGTTGTATTAGCTGTTTATTAAGATGATTTTCCACAACCACTCATCCAATCATTTAATAGTCATTCACTAACCAAGTAAGTAATAATTTGGACCTAAAATATACACTGGAATGACAGAAGAATTACAGCTTTTATTTAAAAACAATACTGGTTAATGCATTAGCATTTTCATACAAATTAACTAGTAGATAAACTAAGTAAACTTTGTTTAAAATGATGTTGTAAATTGCTGAAGCAAGTTTAGTCTGATTTTATTTTGGGAGATTACGCTTTCACAGAACTATGAACACTGTGTAACTTTAGGAAACAATGTTAAGAAAGGGCTAACCTCTCTTTTGGAACAAGAGAATGTTTGCTTTTCCCTTGAGCTGTTCCTGGTGCGTGGCAGGATGTACTAATTCACTCCGTTGGCTAAAAGACAACACTCCCAACACAGTGTGTGTGTACATGCATGCGTGCATGTTTGCATGCAGTAGCTGACTTCCAATACCATTAAAACATTGAATTCCAGTCAGATGTAGAATTAAGTTGATGCCTGTGTTACTTCACTCTGACTTTCTGATGGTCTGGTTTGTCTTTCAGTACCAATAGTTGCATTCAGTGACTGCATTAATTTAATAACACAATTTAAAGCTTTCAAATGGATCTATTATGAAAAGAATTTGGGGATTCTTGAACAACTTCTTTTTTAATTTTCTGTTAAAACAGGTGAAGACTTTGGATGAGGCTTCTAATATTGGGAGGATTTCTAAGCAGTGGTCTGGGTTTTTGAAAGAAGCATTTACAGATACTGATAACTTTGGAATCTCATTTCCAATGGACCTTGATGTAAAAATGAAAGCTGTCATGCTCGGCGCTTGCTTCCTTATCGTAAGTCTGTAGCTTACTGATATTTGAATATGAACTGACTTCATCTCAGTGTTTAAATTGTGCTGATAAAGGTTTTGATTATAGGCTTCTCAAAGTGTTTGAGAGCTTTTGCTGGATTTCTTGCGTGTAAAGCTAACCCTGGAGGGAATATTTTGGATATTAAGCTTATTCGAGGCTACGTGAAGTGCTGAATATATTAAGAAGAACTTTTCACAATCAGATTAACAAACCCTGTAAAAGACAACTCTACAGACTCATAAGCAGAGGCAAGCATGTTTATGTGGGTGGTGAGACAGACACGTACAGAACAGCATTAGCCAGGAGGCCCAACTAATGCCAGAACAGCTGAGTGAGGTGGTGGACTGGACAGATAGGTGCTGCATCCAGCTCCTCCTGATCCTTCTTCTTGGAAATACATGAAGCACCAAGATGAGTAGGACTAAATGCTCTCAGAGGAGTTATTTCTATGGGCAGAGACTTCTGTGGGGGGCAAAGTACACCTGACTTCATGCCATTGTTGTCAGCACTCTGAGTCTGTCATGCTTGTGTTTCCAATTAACCTGTGTACTTCAGCATCAGGTACTGCTTCAAAAGTGCACTCTTCCTGTGTTGGTCAGGCTCCAGAAAGGGAGGAAACAGGCTTATGCAGCATCTGAGTTTGGAAAGTTCTTGCCAGCTTTTATTGCCCTGCATATGGACTAAGTTTTCCTTAACTGTGTGTTTTTAGGTGCACGGATGTAGGTGAAGAGTAGGGAATATGAAGAAGCAAGGACTTCAGGCACAGAATACGGATCTCCCATATGTAAAGTAAAGATAGTGACCTTTATGGTAGAATCCAATTTGAGGTAAAATAGAAGGGACTTGAGTCAGGCTAAAGGAAGTTAGGATGGAAATCCTAAGTAAAGGAAGCATGCCTTCTGATAATGATAAAGTTAAACATCCCAGTCTTCCACCACTTTTTTCTCTTTTTGTGAATGCCTTGTTTTCTCACAAGAGACTCAGGGATTAGGTTGGAGAGAGGTACTTCCAGCTGCTTCTCATCACATAAAGTTTCTGGGAGGAATTGCTTTGAATACCTTGCAAAAGAACCATCAACCAAGATCTAGATTTTAAAAGGATTTTTTGTTTCCTTTTTTTGCTTTTTATTTCCTTCCTAGGATTTCATGTTTTTTGAGAGTATTGGTGACAGCCAACAGCGAGCGGGAGTGTGGCAGTGAAATCTAGAACTTTGTATTTAGAAGGAAGAAAATAAACCACCCACTTCCCAGTGGATTACAGAGCTCCAGTGAGAATGTGAGAAGTGGAAGAAGTGGACCTCTTACTCTTGTAATTATATTTCTATAAACTAAAGGCTTTATTGTCTAGCTTCTGGTTTTGTAATCTAATGACACTGTTGTATTCAAATAAGCACCTTTTGTCTGTACAGAACAATACTGTAATGTATAGAAATATATAGCAGCCTTTTTTCCAATAAATTTGGAATTGTTGTATTAAAACCTTAATTCTTAAAAAAAGAGATCAATTTCTTTGTTCAATAATAATATAAGCAGTCAGCCTAATAAAGAAGTTCTGATTGTTTCCTATGTATCTTCTTTGGTAGTTTTGGCTTGATGTTGATATTCTGTTGTTTCCAACTTACCAAGTAAATACATTCAAAGACAAGTAACCTAAAGAAACAGAACTATCAAAATTCGCTGTAAAAATTATGATGATCTAGTGAAGTTAGAAGTTAGAGGAGACTATTAAAAGGAAGTAGCCACTGGCATTTGTTTCTAGTACTGTCTGAAAAGCATCTTGTCATCAATTTTATATCATGGGACCACTTTAAGAGTGAATGCAAATATAAGCAAGGTATTAGGAACATTGGGCTAACAGAACTTAACTGGGAGCCTATATTCATTCCTCCGTGTAACTCAAAATCTTGTGTGTATTGCTTTGCTTAGATGTTCAGTGTAAGGCCTGAAAACACCCTCAGTGCAACCTGCATGCAAAATTAGACAAAAACAATCACATCTGTCTCTCAGATCAAACTATATAGGGAAAATATTTATTATAAGAAAGAAACCCTGGCTAAGCCTCACAGATTTGCCAGAACTGGTGTAATAACAGGAAAGAACTACAGTCTTGATTCATTAAAGCACACAGGGACCACTGGACTAGGAACTTTCCATCAGATGGCTAACTGGGTAGTTATGGTGCTGGTTCCACAGCTCTTTTGCCTTGCAAGATGCTTCACAGTAGTTTTCTGTGAGGATGAAAATATTGCTTGAGAATTCATAGCTAAAGCTACCAAAGGATAACTCTCTTGTTCACCAAACAGTATGCTACCACTGTCATAATCTATTACTGTTTCCTAATGATATTTAATTGTGGAATGCTTATTCATTTATTTTTTCAAGAACTTCAAGAGACAAGTGTGTTTGTGCATTTGTGATTGTGCTAAATGCAGAATAGATCATTCTTAAAGCAGTTTGTCTGTATTTCGAAGAACCCACAGTAGCATCCATACTTGATTAAAAAAAAAACAACCAGGCTCTAGAAATTCCCACTTTCATCTATCAGACCGTAAACAAGACAATGATTTATCCCCTATCCATATTCCAGGCTTTGGAAAACATGAGAAGTTTTTCAGCACACTGCATGTTATTCAATTCCATCTAGGTTAGAGAAAACTGTTACATAAAACCTTTACAAAGGGAGATTTGCAGATGGATTTCTTGTGTTCTGTTAATGACCTTTCCATCTGTATCATCCCTGTAAGTTTTTTATCTCCAGCTGTTCAGAAGTCGCAGTCACTTAATGAAACCCTAGGGTCTATATGTCAGAGAAAAACATAATTTATATGATGTTTCTCAGTAAAATAATGTGTAGATAGTTTGGGTTTCTCAGAAAATGAAATCATAAGAAAGAGGGAAGAAAAATCATCTACCCCTTCCGAAGCCTTAAAACAAAATTGGGGTTTTGCTACTTGATCAAAGAGAATTTTGCAAACTGGAGGAGAGGAGGGCCACTGTTAAAAGATACAGTATGTTACAGCTTGTCTTCTAAAGGTGTTTGAACTCAGATGAGTTTTATAAAGGTGCTTCTGTAGACCCAAAGCCGGTCCATACATGCCTTACATACTTTGCCTTGGTTTTACTAGTGAGAATAACTTTTCTCAATGCTGAAAAACTGAGAATGGGAGCAGAGACTGAACAATAAAAGTTTTTCAGGAAAGAGAAAAGCAGTTGGTTTTCCCATCTCTTCTGAAGAAATCTAGATCATTTACTCTATTTCAGGTATAGCTTATTGGGAATGTTGGGTTGATAAAGAAAATCTTTGTTCAAGGAAACGTATTATAAAACGTCATGGCATAAATATTTGACTACTAATGGGCATTGCATGAATAAGAATGCTAATGCTGTGTGACAGAAACACATAGGAATTGATAAATGTGAATGGTGACTGGAAGATGCTGAGGAAGAAGTTTCCTGTGAGGACTCACAGGAAGGAGAGCTTGTGCAGCCAGGGCAAGGAAACAGAGACCTGCTGCGCAGAGAGAAAACTGGACCGTGAGATGAAGAAGCCAATTCAGTCAAAAAGCAATCATGTAATGGAACCTGATGTTGGAATTAGTGAGACAGGAGGTCAGAAAGATTAAAAAATAAACATAAGCAATAAACAAAAACAAAATCTGCTGCCCTTCTGGGGTGCAGCAACAAACCTAGCCAGCAGAGAGAGGTGTTGTCTTGTATCATGGCTGTGTAAGCTCTGTTCAAGCTTTCATGACACATGCCTATATATGCTGTGTCTATGGACCGGGTTGGATCACTCTAGGATTTGGATGTGCTGTTCCACGTTATGCCTTTTTTACAGTCCCCCTCCTAAACTGAGCAACAATTTAGAACCTACACCAAGACCTCAAAAAGTTGCTTCTGAACCTTCATGCCACTTGTACGTCTTCTGCTAACTAAATGTTGTTGCATTGTAGAGAAGTTAAAAACAAGTAGGCTGAGACCTAGAGCTTCTGTTGGGCCATTTGGTATAAGGCTCCTTTTGGAAAGGTATGTTACGTCATGCTTTACGCTCTCTCCTTTTTATCATCCTCTCTTTTCTTCTGTTGTTTGCTGACAGCAATATTGCAGTAACACAAAGCAAAGCTGCCTCCCAGGGGCCTCCTACCTCCCCAGCACGCACAAACACTGGAGAATCTCTGGGCCAGTGGATTGGTCATCTCTATGCATTTTGGTTCTGAATAGAAGGCAAAGAAAAGAAGGGAAGAAACCCCAAACCTCCACCTTTATACAAAACATAAAATGTAAGGCATCTTGATACTTATTTATTTTTCTCAGGACTTTTCCCAATCTTGTTTCTGTGATCATTTTGAGGAGTCCTGAGTGTCATCTGCAAGTTAAAAAAGACACCTTACAGATTTTGTCCCAGAGAAACATTACCCTGTGTTCTACAAAGACGTTCGACCAGCCACTTGGGGAGGTTTGTTTCCATTGTTTTCCCGCTAGCGCTGATACAAGCAGCCCAGCGTTCAGTAGGTGGCAGTGCCGGCGTGGAAATGGCAGCTGCAAGCCTAAGGCCGGCACAGTGAGCTTCCCTCCGGTTTTCTCTGGAAGAACTGCAGATTACACTATCTCTGAAGTATGTATTCCCTGCATGTGTGTGCAAAGCGAGATATTTCCCATCAAAGCTTAAACGTCTTCAGCTGCAAATGGAATGATGTGCCACTAGGAAAATAAAAAATGCACGTGCAAGTATGTGAGAACACACTGCCAAAAACTGTGTAATGCCTTTAAAGTTGTACTAGGCTTATAGCACATGCAAGAATTAGGGTTTGGGCTGTGATTTCTGACATAATTCATAGCTTTGCAAGAAGTTATGAATGTATCACAGCAGCGTGCATCAAAGGAGTCAGGCTTGTTTTGTTGCTGGTATAATGGCATCGACTTACCTTTGAGGTGAGTTTGGGCCTTAGACACAAGACATGGCCATGATAGAGGCTGAGCAGCCCCGGGGCCATGAACACTTGGGAAAGTGGGCAAGAGACAGGCAAGCCAGGCCAATGACTGTTTTCTTTTTAGTTTATTTGTTGGTATTTAAGCTTGCTGCTAGTGTTTCTGCTGGTTTAACCTTTAGCTGACCTAGTTATTGAACCAGAGCAGCTGGAAGCAGATGAGGAAGTCAATATTTCTCCACTGATTACTGTTTATTGAGGAGCAATCAGGCCCTGCTGAGGTGAGCAGCTAGCAGGGGCAGGCGTGCTGGATGGGAGGTACATGGTACATGAAGCTGTAACATGGGGCTGTGCTATGTGTGCCCCAGATGCCATTCTGATGATGTTTTGTAGCTGATACCCTGCTCCAAAGTACAGTCCCTTTTGTGTAACTGTTAAGTTCCATCTGAATGCTGGAACTGTGTGGCACAGCTGGCATTAGCACATCCTCCCAAAGTAACTGGACTTGCATGAATGTGGCTTTGATAGCATGAGATGGGATGGTTTCAAGTTGCTCCAGGAGAGTTTCAGCTTGGTTATTAGGAAAAACTTCTCCAAAATAGTGGCCAGGCACTGGAACAGGTTCCCCAGGGAAGATATGTAGTCACCACCCCAGGTGGTGTTCAAGAGGAGGGTAGATGTGGCACTGAGGGTTAGTGGGCAGTACTGGAGATAGATGGAGGGTTGATCTAAATGATCTTAGAGGTCTTTTCCAACCTTAATGATTCTATGCTTTCTGTTTCACTGCAGCCCATCGCATACCTGAGCTGTTGTGTGCGCTACTGAGGAGCTCAGTTCCACACCCTTTACATTTTGTTAGTGATCTTTCCCAGCCACTTGATCAACTCGAGTGCTGTCTCCAGGTTTTGCTGTGGCTTTCCAGTCACGTGGTATGAGACAGAGCAATGCCTCACCCAGGGAGCTTTGGCAAAATGAATCCTAATTATAAAGGTGCTGTGTATGTATGCCAGAAACCTAGACCTTAGCAGCTAAATCCTGTTGTCTTCCATTACTGCAGGCAGTCCTGCTTTTTAACTGATGCACAACAGTGACTTCAGTATTTTTTTTTCTTTTTAAAATGCCATTGAGTATGGCTGTACAACGGAGCAAAAGGCTTTATTGTTTCAGCAAATTTCTCATTTTTCAGGAAGCAGAATGTGTGGCTCCTGGAAAATGTAGGCCATTCAATGGACTGAGGCTAACCTTGCTGGCATTTTGTGTCTGTATCCTGCTTGTTGCCAGGCTGGGTAGAAAAGAAATACAAGCAAAGTCGTTCAACACAGACAAGGGCTCACTGTGCCCTGTCCTCTCCTTCCACTGAACAAACTTTGGAAAGGCCATGAGAGGTGGTGAGCTAACATTAAAATGCACCAAGCAATAAAGCCAGCTATTGAAATGAACAAGAACTTACCTGTGTGTTCAGCACATATTTTCCTGTTGGGGGAAAAAAAAAAAAAAAAGCAAAGAAGAAAAGAGCGAATAGTTATTTCCATGGTAGAGAAAAGAGCAGGAGACAGG